TTGAAAAGCTGTTGAACCACATGAGCAGGAAAACATTTCACATCAGGTGTGGATTTGATCTTTTAACCTTAATGTTCTTTACTCAAACTCTCAAGTCTTTGAGTCGAGTCCAAGTCAAGACTGAAAAGTGTCAAGTCAAGTCCCAAGTCCTGCCGTTTCTGTTTCGAGTCCTTTTAAACAAAATTATAATCTATTTACACAGATCACTGCCATTTGTTTTTTGTTGACCACCTCGTAGTTTTTAAATCCGAACATCACGATCTTTGGTATCAGTTTCTCTCAGCGGCGCGTTGTTTGACAGCTCTTCCTCATTGGTTGTCCCGCAAAGTCCAAGTGAAGTCACGAGTCACTGATGTTAAAGTCCAAGTCTCTTTACATTTTGTCAAATCGAGTCTAAAGTCGAGTCATCAAACTGATGACTCGAGTCCAAGTCATGCGACTCGAGTCCACACGTCTGGAGATTACTGTTAAACATAAATAAAACCATAACCACAATCCTAAGATTTTGTTTATTTTTCCTCAATTTTTTCAACATGTATGTTATTTCTATGTTATTTCTAAACATTATTGTTCTTGCATGGATTTAGCACGATTTAGCAAGTTATTCAAATCTAATCTTTTGACCATTAAATCTATATTAAAAAAAATTTTCATAACAGCTATTCACTACATTTCAAAAGGCCATCAGCCGTTGAACGGATAGTTCTGTTCATGAGTACAGATTAAAGCAGTTCCCTGGAGTTAGATGGAGAACACTGGTAAGTAATTAGGTCAGACGGAGCTCATATAACAGACAGCATGAAGAACAGAACATCAGTCGAGCCTCGGAGTAAATTCATTCTGAGACCTCAACGAAATGAGGAGTTGACGACATTTTTTGAAACTACACAGACCTTTGGCTGTGTCACAGGTCCAAGTCGGTTCTACTGCAACACTTTTCATGAATACAAAGCCGAGCCGACGCATTGTTTCTTGGTTCTATCTTTTCCACAACACACCACACCTTTATTTATCATATCTGTCTCTGTTTCTTCTGGTTCTCAAAAAAATCCCAATGGGGTCGGTTGCGTCAGGAAGAGCTTTGGGCATCAAAAGCGAACCAAATCACTGTGTGGCCCACCACTGTGACAGGCACTGATAAAGAGAAAAGCTGAAAGTGATTCTTCTTCTAAGAAAAAAAGATAGCAGTGGCCCTCGGAGAGAAACTTAATTTCTTGAGTCGATGCTAAGAAATGACAGTGTTCTATTACAGGAGGCGGCCGGTTCTGAACTATTGCTTCAGTCTAGTGAGCCAGAAATCCTGCCGACACAAATATGATAAGCTGTGCCCGCTCTTAACAGAATCCTGAAAGGGTGTGATTGTTACAGTGGTGTGAGCCCCTCAGGTAAAACACACAACACCAGCGAGATTCAATGCAGCTCCCGCTCTAATGTCCTTACAGCAGCCCTGGGGTTATTGTTAGGGAGGTGCAATACTGTAACACCAACGCTTTATTGTATTTGTCACTACAGATTTTCACAGCAAAATGACGAAAGAAACAAAAATGTATTCTTGCTGTTAAACCTATGAAGTGAGTTCATCAATAAATATAAATGTACCCACTTTTTAAATAATGAAAAAAAATCATCGTCGTAACAGCAAAGTTATTTATTTCAAACTTTTATTCCAGCAGTGCTTTAGTACTCAGTATAACATCTGATTGACTTTTCTTTTATTATTATTGTGCCTCAAGCCTATCACCAACACCAGCTACTGTCAAAAGAATGACAACAACAGATGCTGCCACTGTTTTAGAAAACTATCAAAGAGGCATAAAAATATAAAATATGTCCATTCGACTATTTATGACAGACACAAAGATGCCGGTCCAATTGATTTTGCTGTTCGTTGAACTTGTTGTCAATTTAATAAAAACTTTTTAAATGTATCTGGTTGCTACCAATGGAGGTTGATGGTGTGTGAAACAGATATAAATATAAACGCTGCCTTCCTTATAGAGCCTTAAAGAGCAACTTTACCACTATGTACGACTTGCTAGCTCACAGCTAACTTATCGTCTTTAGGCACAAAGGTGAATTAATGATGAAAATGAACAAACAAATCAAGCAAAGAAACATAATAAGAAATAACGTAAGAGTAGTACTATACTGATCCCATCTTTGGGAAATTGCTCTGTTAGCAGCAGATATGCTCTAGCAAGCGCCAAGCATGTGGTTCCTCTGGGAATCGAACCCATGACTCTCGCAGAGACTCTCACCAAACCACTCAACACACTACAGTGTGTCTTTAGAACCGGCTCGCATAACCCAAAATGGCCGTGATTTTTTTTTTTTATCGCAATAAATTTAAAAAAAAAAGCGTGGCTCCACCTCCTAAACCCTCCTGTCCAATCATCATGCAGCTTCTATACCCACCCACTGCGCATTAACCTTCAGTAAAATGCAGCTTTTGTCCATACATCTTTGATTAGCATCCATTAGCGCCGCCCCGTTGAAGCCAACTGAAGCTGAGCTTCGACAGGGTTTAATACGGAGATCAAGAAAATCAGCTGATCTTATATAAACAAAACAGTCACGAGGGTCATTTACTTGTTGCAAAACAAGAGATATTTGACAATTTATTTTGTGAAATTTCACAAGAAGATGAGCTCCCTCTTTGTTGTCTTCAAGTACAAAATGCTGCCTCACCGTTTCTTCACACAGTAACTGCAGCTGGGAACTTTACATCATTCTTTTGATGTGAAGTAACAACAGCGGCCACTGCCTTTCATCTCTGTTGTTGTCAGACATTTGGTGGCGCTGCATATTTACCTCTAAAGCACAGAGTGTTTAGGAAATGGACCAAAAAAAAAAAAAAGCACTCACACATAAACCGACAGAACTGTGGGATCAAATTGCTGAGCATCTAATTTGCACTCGCTGCAGAGTGACTGACTTCACATTATAATAATCTAAAAGCAGAAATCATTAACACCCCACAAACACCTTTGCACAACACGTTCCGTTTACAGGGTGGCGTGACGTCAAAGGACAGAGAAAGCGGGGAAACGAAAGTTTTCACACTTCCTTGGCTTCCAGGGAGAGAGATGGAACAAAATCAAAACACACAGATGCAAAGTGTAAATAGATCTGCAACGCGCCAAACCAGACACAGAGAAAGCTACATTTGGGATCATGTTTTCATTAATCTTCTGTCAAGTTTAAAGTCAACGCATCATTATTTTTGTCTTCATGTTGGGTGTTGACACACACTCAGCCTCTGCTCGACCGATTCCTGGATTTCTCAGGATTCACTCAAAGGATTCTTGTTAATGGAAGACAAAGACAGCAGAAGGTCATGGGCTTCAATCCAAACAGCTGTGCTTCTAATTCAGGAGGCAGTGAGGGGCAGGAAGCAGAGTAGGATCAAGGCCAGTGCAGTATTTACCTCTGACCATATTAAAGGCCTCCGCTGGGCCAGGTGAACCAAAGAGAGTTCACTTCCACTGAACTCTGTTTGTAGTTAAGACAGAAAATCTCAGAGATGGAGGGACATTAAACTAAAACATTCCAAAGAAGCATCAGTTATGTTGTTGTTGTTATGTTTTTGTTTTTTTTAACACATTTCTTTTCAGGTTTGTGAGTTAAAAATACTGTATGAATTGATTGAAAACTACAAAGGCAAAAGCAGCATAATTAAGTTGCGTACCTAATGCAATCAATCTCTATTATTCTTGCTCTCCCTATTTCAACCAGAGCGGCCGCTCACTGGCTCTACTGCCAAAAAAAAAAAAAAAAAAATGACAATAAAGGCTGAAAATCTGTCTGTATTTGAAGTGAAATCATGACAGACACGAATGACTGCCATAAAATTTGGTCAGTTAAGTCTCAAACTGTGCAGCACAGAAGTCCTACAGCTGGGAGATCGTAGACGGTACGGCTGCCGTAAATCTGAAACACGCTGACTGAGCAGAAATTGAGATTAAAGTATCAACTAAGAGGGCGCTACTGACACTGAATTTGACTGAGTGACATGAGGGACAAGACGTCACAGTAGAACTACTTTGTACTGGTCAAGAATCATTTCTAATTGTAGCAGTAGCCGAAGAATTACCCTTTAAAAATAAAGAAAATATGTTGACAATTTTTTGCCCCCCCCCCCCCCCCCCCCTTGCCTTTAGCTCATTTTGAACTTCAAATATTGATTTTAATTACTACAAAAACAAATATTCACATTAATCAAAGTATGACATTTTGCAGATTTGTGCAGTTTGCCCATTGGGAGAAAATATTAAAAATGTTAAAATTAAATGACATTACTGCACATGCACTAGTAAAGCATTGCGCCCCATAGATTGGGAACCAATAATGCAACAGATGCAGTGTGTTTGTATGGACAGATGTATGTAGGTATAGCATTGGCAGTAAATTTGAGCTACATAATGAAGGGTAACAATTATTCTTGTTAATTAATATAGCGTCCCTATTTTTAATGGCGCCTCCTGTGGCCAATCAGAGGTGTCCACAGTTATTTAAGTCATATTTGAATGATTCTACTCTGGTAATACACTTGGATAAATGAGGTTGACTTTATTTTAATTTTAATACTCTGCCGTGACCCTTCTGACAAACACGGTAAAATCTTCCAAAGTCTTTTTAGATTCTAACCGGAACATTGGGTACTATTTAAACTGTGAAGCCAGATTGTCTGCTGCCGCTGCAGTTTATCCTTTTAAACATCAGATAATATCTCACAGGATATTAGAAACCACAGTGGACTCACGAACAAATAAGTGCAGCTTGACTAGTGTGAAAATAAACCTCTCAGAGGGCTTTTTAGGAACGACCGAGCCGAGCAAACAGTACAGGACGGATCCACCAAGGAGTGGAGCAGATGCTAGGTGTTCTCTCTCTCTGTGTTTTTGCGATCGTGTTTGTAATACATGGTCAAATTTGGCAAATCTTTAAATTGATATTTGTAATCACACGTGTTGTCGTTCGTCTGTTCTTCTCATGTTAAGATTCCTCAAGTGAGCTACGCCTCCACAGCTCCAGAACTGAGCGACAACACGCGCTACGACTTCTTCTCCCGGGTCGTGCCCCCCGACACCTACCAGGCCCAGGCCATGGTGGACATCGTGAAGGCCATGCGCTGGAACTACGTCTCCACCGTAGCTTCGGAGGGAAACTACGGAGAAAGTGGCGTGGATGCCTTTATTCAGAAGTCTCGTGAGGACGGTGAGTCTCACTTCAAACTAAACTTGTCTTCAGGCAATTTTTTTTTAAGGTAGTATTTCTCATTTAGTCCACAAGTGCTTCTCTGCGGTTTAAAGAGCAACTGTGTGTTTTAAAATTAGACTAAGCTATTATTATTATCCAACACACTTCCCGCTGGAGTCAGCAGAAATATGATCCAGGAGTGTGTGCGAGAATATTCTGAAGGGGTTTGTTTCAAGAATTATGTTTTGGGTTTTTTTCCTGCAGAATTATAGCTGTGGTAAACAGGAATTAAGCTCACGTCCAAGAAGTACTAACGCAGTATTACTGTGGCCGACCTGACAAAATGTGGATGGCTACTGTACTGTAGAACCAAAGGACGGAGGGAGAATTTCAGATACAAGAAGGTCATTGTTGAGAACGCTGCAAAAGTTGTGGCCACACACACACACACACATATATAAAAATATATATATGGAGAGGGTGGGGGGGTACTCTTTCTCGTTTATTATAATACTACGCCAACTAGGGTCTTGTTTACAACAGGCAACATTCACATATGGGGCTAAAATAAAGATTTTGATTTATATTATAATACTATTGACTGTGTATCAGTGCAACAACGAGTGGAAGGACAGTGAAAATATTGACTATACCGTGTTTTTTTAGAAAAATCTGTTGATTGTTCAATCCCTTTAATTAACAAATATTATTAATTATTGATTGATTTATAGGAAGATTCATACATGATCAAGACAAATTTGTCCTGTTTCTGAAATGATAGGAGTGAGTATATATATATATATATA